GCAGCAGACTGGGCCCTAACTCAATTGTGCTGTTAATCTAGTGCCCCGGACAGATTAAGGAGGCCTCTGAGGTCTCAAACCCATCAGTCCCTGCCCTGGTCAGGCTGGCAGGTGGCGCCAGGGGGCCGGGCAGGGGGCCTTAGACCAGGCAGAAAGGCTATTACCAACCCCCCCCCCAGCTCAGCCGGGAAGGGGGGCGATGTGAATACACGGATGTTGGTCAGGAGTCCACGGGCCCAGCTCTGACACCTAGCACTGCGACCTTGGACAGATTACATTAAACCTCTCCAGGCCTCAAATTCCTCATCTATAAAACAGAGCTGCTAACTGGTTATCACAAAAATTAAATTAGGCAAAACACTGAGCCGTGCCCACTCGCAGGCCTGCTTCTTCAATACAGGGGACAGCAGGCACCAGCCTAGCCAACTCCCAGGATCCTCCTCGTCTCATAACCGGCTCCCAGGGGTCTGCGCTGGCTAGGCTCCAACCTGGGGGCAACGTCTACAAACGGTGCAGGCGTCCAGGGGCCGGCCCTAGCCTCTCTGGGCTTCAGCTTTTCTATCTGCAAAATGGGCATCATAATTGTGCCTACAGCCCTGGCCGATTTGGCTCAGTGGATAGAGCCGGGGCCTGCGGTTTATATCCCAGTCAAGGGCACATGCCCAGGTTGCGGGCTTGATCCCCAGTACGGGGCGTGCAGGAGGCGGCGATCAATTCCCTGTGCCTGATGTCTGTCTGTCTGTCTGTCTCTCTCCCTCCCTCTTCCCCTTTGAAATCAATAAAAGTATTTTTAAAATAATAATAATCGTGCCTACATCGTGGAGGTATGAGGATTAGATGAGAAATCGCAGGGATGTGTACGACTATTCCCCCATCTGCGGAGGGAACCCGCACACCCCAGCCCCAGGCACCGGCCTCTGGCCACGCCCCTCTGGGCAGGGAGCTGCACGGCCGGCAGGGGGCGCGGCGGCAGGTGCGGAGGCCCGGGGCCGGGGCACCCCTGGCGCGAACGCGGATCACCGCGAGCACAGGCTCGGCATCGGCGACCTCGCAGGCCCGGAGGCGCGGGCAGCCCGGCCCACTCGGGACTGCAGGGCCCGGCGGGCGAGGGTCCGGGGGCAGTTGGAGAGGGATCGGGTTTACGCTCCGCTCGCCCGCTCGGCCCACTCCTTCCACTGCGGGCGGGGAGCTGCCGGCTCCCCTCGGTGGGGCGTGAGGACGAGGCGCACAGGCCCGGGGGGTCTGGGGAGGACTGCTGGGGGGAGGAGGCAGCCTGAGCCGGTCCGCAGCCAGGGGACCCCGGAACCGGTCCTCCCACCCCGGCCCTCCCTGGGCGCCAGACTGCGCCCGGAACCCCTCCACCCCCAGACTCTCCCCAGCGGTTTCACGTCGGGCCTCGTCCTGGGCCCCGATGTCCAATGACCGAGGGAAGCAGAGTCGGCGCCGTTGACCCGATGTTCCGGGCCGTTTGGGGCCAGAGCTGTGAGCCGGAAGCACCTGCCTCCATGGCACAGGGAAGCCCCCCTTTCCCCTCCCCACGCCGGTCCACGGGGGGCCCCCTCCCATCGTGGGCAGCCGAGACCCTGCCCCCTGCCCTCGCCGGGGCAGAAACCCGGGGCTCCCTGTGGGGCGCAGCCTCTGTCCCCGAACTCACCTCCTGCCCTGAGAGCCCGCGCTGCGCCGCCAGGCCCCCAGGCCCCCAGCTCCGGCCGCCTACACCCCCTTCCTCCCGGGAGGGAGGGTGTGGCTCCTGCCCCCCCTAACCCCCTCTCTTCCTCCCAAGTTCCCAGCACAGCCTGGGGGCGGGCAAAGCGGGGTACGTGGGCAGTGTCTATGGCCTGGCTTCGGAACCAGACTCAGAAAACCCCATTTCTTGTCCCAAGAGGATGCCTGGTTGTGGCCACTCTCGCCCCAGCCCTGGGGGGGGGGGGGGGGGGGGTATTGTAGCTGCAGCCCCAAGGAGGAGGATCCTGGGAATTTGCTAGGCCAGTGCCTGCTGTGCCCTGTATTGAACAAGCAGGCCTGTGAGTCGGCATTGTTCAGTGTTTTACTTAATTTAATTTTTGTGATAACCAATTAGCAGCTCTGTTTTATAGCGTCTTGTTTTTTAAATAAAATGAACAGTCTGTCCCGGGGTCCCCACCGTGGGGCCGGGGAGAGGGGGAGCGAGGCCGAGGGCCTAAAGCAATGGGAGGAGGGCGGCAGGGAAAGATGGAAGGACGCCCTCGGGGTGGCCGGCTGCCCCCTCCCTGCTGTGAGCGAGGCCACCGGACAGCAGGTGAGACCGCACAGCCCTCCCCGAGGCCGAGGCCGAGGCCCCGCCGGCTGGGCGCGGGGGTCGGCGGGGGAGGAGGACGGCCTGCTTGAGCCTTCTGCCCCGGGGATGGAGGGAGCGGTGCCGAGACGCGGCCCGAGGACCGGGGTTTGGCCTGAGACGCGGCCCGAGGACCGGGGTTTGGCCTGAGACGCGGCCCGAGGACCGGGGTTTGGCCTTGGACGCGAGCTCGGGTGAGGCTGCGTCACCGCGAGGGGCTGCGGCTCTCCGCCCGCCGGGGAGCGCTCATCTCCTCCCCCGCTCGCCGCCTGCAGCCCGGATCCCCGCGGGTTCGAGTGCTGCCCCCGGGCCCGCCGTCCTGAACTGCAGCCACCCGCCCCCAGCTCCAGGCGGCCTGCGTGGGCACCGGCCGCACCCTGGGACGCCCCTGTGCGGACGCCCCTGTGCAGTGGGAGCAGGACAGGCTCCTCCGGAGCTGCGGGAGGCACACCAGTCCCAGCGGGCTCACAGCGAGGGCTCCGTCCCGTCACAGACAACCACGGCGGCGTCGCTCGGAGCAGACGCCGGCCACGGGCAGCCGCGCCGTCGGACCCGGCCCCGCCGCCCACGCGCGGGCGCAGGAGCGGAGACACGGGGGCTGGAGAGGCCGCTGCCTGGCCCGGGGCGACCCAGGAGCGACGGGACAGCGCTGGGTTCTCACCCAGGGCAGCTCCCCACCCCCACCCCCACCCCCACCGGAACCCGCCGAGGCCAGGGCGGCGGGGGGCGCCGGGGGGCGGGGGCGGACCCCACGTGCGCCTCCCGCCGCGGCTTCTCGGAGCCTTTGTCGCAGGCGCGTGCGTGCGGCACTCGGCGGCTTAAAATAAAGACAATGTTCCCAGCTCCCCGCGGCTAAATCCGGCTCCGCGCGGGGGCGGTGCGAGCTGGGGGGAGCGCTGCTGGCGGCCCCGCGCCCTCCCCCCTGCCTGCCTCAGTTTCCCCGTCTGGTCTCGGGGCCCAGACGGAGGCCTGGGCTGGCGGGGGCGGGGGTCACCCCTGCCTCTGCGGGTGCATGACCGGGAGATGGGGACGCTTGGCTCCGAGAGGGGCGCCCAGAGAAGGGAGGGATGGGGGGGGAAAGCCGGACTCCCTCCTCTCCCGCCTACAAAAAAGTGTTTTTGTGCCGCAGGGACGTGTGCAGAGGCGGCGGGAGCAGAGAGAAGGGAGACCAAGGAGGCTGGGGGGAGGGGGCCACGCAGCCTGATTCAGACTCGGAAATGGATGCGGAACGCGGTGGCCTGACGCCCCTACACCGGCCACGTGGCCGCGCACAGGGACGCGCAGCACCCAGAGCGGCCGGCAGGGGGCAGCCGAGCCCGCGCCCGGGGGCAGGGCCAGGGGCGGAGCCTTGACCCCGCCCGCCCCGCCGGCGGATCCGGGACGGGACCGGGCGCTCCGACTCCTCTCCCGCCCCCAGCATCCCCTGCCCGCAGGACGGAGGCGGCCGGGTGCGGGCTCGGCCTCCGCAGGCTGTGGGCAGCGAAGGTGCCCCCACATGTGGCTGCCACGTGCACCTCCCACTGACAGCCCGTCCGCTGGCCAAGCCCGGGACTCCAGTTTCCGGCTCTCCTGGCAGCTGGGCTCCAGCCCAGGTCACCCTTGGGCATCAAACTGGAGAGGAGTGCTGGGTGGGGATGGAGAGGGGCAGTGGTGGGGCAGGTCCCAACCCCGCACTGGACGCCCGAGCCCTGGGCTTAGAGCTAAGGGGCCCCACCCACCGCACATTCGTCACCCTCTGCTCCTTGCACTCCTCCTCTGCCTCCTGGGATAATGGGTGACCGGCCCCCCTGCCTTCCACCCAGGGCTTCAGCACTGCCCAGCGGGGCCAAGCACAGCAGCCCAGCCAGAGCCCCCCTCCGGCCAGCTCCCCGGAGGTCCCCAGGCCAGGCGAGGGCGGGGCAGGACGAGTCTATGGCAAAGGGCCCCCAGGGGCTCCGTCTCTGAGGAAACTCAACACAAACCCAAAGGCCCGGAGGCAGGGGGCTGGCCGTCCGGGGCGGAGGGAGGAGGGAGGCGGGAGGAAGGGCAGGTTCCCCGTCTCAAACCTGGGAGCCCTGCGTGGGAGGCGGGAGACAAGAGTTTGACAAGCGGGGAGGAGCGCTGTCTGTCTCCTGTCTGTGTGTCTTCCCGGTGGAAGCTGGGGGTGGAGCGGGCGGGGGGCGAGGCGGCCTCGAGTGCGGAATGAACAGGCTCCGCAGTTGGGCGACACCCAGACACACGCCGAGCACAGACACGCGTGTACACGCCGCCTGGCCGCGGGCCAGCAGGTGCCACCTGTATGTTCCAAAGGTTGCCTGGCGCCGTGTGCGCTCAGGGACACGCGTGTGGGGGGCACACCGCAGCGTGTGGAGCAGGCACACGGCCCCCCCCCGACACACACACACACACATGCACACGCACACACACGCTCACGCTCACCCCCACACCAGACACCTGTGCCCTCGCATGGGCTCTGGGTGGGACAGACGGGAGCGCACAGCCCGCCCGCGCCCTGCCTGGGCCCGTTCCAAGTGCCAGCCTCTCACTGAGGTCCAATGTGTCACTTCCCGACAGAAGGAACGGCTCCTTCGCCGCGGGGGCGGGGGGGGGGGGCGGGGGCGCGGGCACGGGCAGGGCAGAGCGAGGGTGAGGGAAGGAGACGTGTGGATCCCGGCACGGGGCTCGGGCTGCAGACTCGGGGTGCGGGCTGGGGGCTGGGGGAAGGGGCCCCGGGAGACAGAGTGCCTTTGTGAGGGTGTGCGCGGAGCCGTGTGCCTGGGTGTGGGTGTTTGTCTCCCGTATCCGCCTTCTCTCCCGCTCCGGACTTCCAGCCTCTCCGGGCTCCTCGTCCTCCGGTGCTGCCCCTCCGGCCGGGCTCCGGCGGGGGCCCTGGCGGAGGAGGGGGCACGCTCCAGGACCCGGTCCAACCCCAGGCGTTGCCGGAGGCTTCCGTCCTGCTCCCCTCCCTTCCTCTCCTCCCTCCTCCCTCCCTCCTCTCTCTTCCTCCCTCCCTCCCCCCCAGGGCTGGCGTGCCAGGGGGTGGGACATGCCAATCACTGGCTGTGCCTCGCCGGCTGCCAGCGCAGGACGCAGCTCCCCCCGGAGCCAGGTGTTTGGGTCCCTGGAGACAGGGCCGGCCGCCCGGGAGGCAGAGGCGGGGAGGACCCCTGTCCAGCCCACGTGAGTGCATGGGAGGGGCGCGAGGGGCCCGCAGGTGGGGCCTGGGCCAGCAGGGTCCTGGGTTCCAGGTGGGGACCGGAGCACAGGGAAACGTGGGTGGACCAGAGAGAGGAGGGGGCCAGGGAGGGTCTAGAGACGAGGGGGCTCGCAGCCTTGGGCACTGGCTGCCCAGATGCCCTGTCCCCGGCTGTGAGTGGGCACACCGGGCATTTTTCTGGGGTTCAGCCGGCAGAGGAGACGGAGACCCCCTCAGGGAGCTGGACCTGGAGCCGGAGGGAGCCGGCTGCCGCGTAGCAGGCACAGCCCCCGGACCCCGGGGACCGAGGGGGAGGGCGGGGGGCAGCCCTTGGCACCAGCACCTGGAGGGAGGCTGAGCCCTCCAGTTGGGGTACCAGTCCCCGAACCCCTCCTCTCCTCCCTCAGGGGGCTCTGAACCCCACCACCCCCTCCACCTGCAGCGCCCCGAGATGGACTGAACCGACTGCCGGCCAGATGGACAAGCTGGACGCCAAGGTGGGTGCTGGGCCAGAAGCCAGCGGCGACCAGGCCAAAAGCCCCGGGGCTCCCCGGGGAGAAACGGCACGCGTGTGGCCACGCGGCAGGGAACATGGTGCCGACATGTGAGGCGGCCAGGGAGCACCCGGTGGGCTCCGTCCGGGGCTTCCGCAGGGCGGGTGGCAGCGCGGTGCCCGGGTCACGCAGGCTGCCCTCCCCGGACCCCCAGATGCCCACGTGGACACGGGCGGGGGCCGGGCGCTCCGCTTGCTGCAGGGGAGGGTGGTCAGCTGGCACCGGGCTCGGGGCTGCTCGGTGGATCGGTGCCAGCAGACGGGCCACCTCTTCCCACAAGGCAACCTGCGGCTCCACCGGACTGACCGGCCCTGGCCGCCGGCCGGAAGGAGCCGGTGCCCTGCGGCCAGGCAGTGTCCTGGCCCTGTGTGGCCAGCTGCTGGCCGGGCTGTCAGAGGGGAGCCGCTGCCACCCGGGAGGGCAGGCGGGAAGAGGTGGCCGCTGGGGGGTGCAGCAGCTGTGACTCCGGGCTCCCGGGCTGAGCCTGGGGCCTGAGAGCCGAACCCCAAAGCACAGAGAGGACTCCCCAGTGTCAGCAAGGGGTTAGGCAGGGGTCCTGTCAGGCCTGGGAAGACGCCTCCCCATTGTACAGGAGGGGAGACTGAGGCTGAGGAAGGGGGAGACGTGCTCACGGTCACGGAAGGGGTATTTGGGGGCTCACACTGCGGCCTGCCGGAGCAGGATGGAGGGTGGGGGGCTGCGGGGAGCGGGAGCTCCAAGGGGCGGGAGGGAGCGCGGGCTCTGCGGGGGGCGGGGGGGAGAGGTGGGTGAATCTCTCCCTGGGTTTCTTCTGCTGTGATGCCATGGTGATGCCGAGGAGGGTGGGGGAGGAGGGAGAGGGAGGAAAGGAAGTGGGGAGAGGAGCAGGAGGAGGAAGAGCGGGGGGGCGCAGGGAGCGGAGGCTGAGGGCCCAGCCTGCCCTGGTGAGGGCCCCCCACAGCGAGGGGATGGGGGGGGTGCCGTGCAGAGCAGCATTGATGCCGGCTGCTGCCCTCCGGGGGAGGGGGGAGTTGGCTCTTCCAAGGGAGACTGCTGAGCCTGAAAATGGGATTCCAGGCTGGGCATCGGGGGTGGAAGTTGTGCACCTTTGCTGGGTCCAGAGCCACCTTCAGAGCCGAGTCCGCCCAGGGGGGGAGCGCTGACGGCGGCTTCGGGTCCAGGCCCCATCAGAAGGCACAGGTCAGGTGCCCAGCCCCACCCCCACCTCGTACCTCCTTCTCCCCAAATGTCCCTTCTCTCCAGAGGGGCTGCAGGCTCCCAGGCCCAGAATCACAAGATGGCTTCCCTCCTCCTCCCCGAACCTTTCGCCAGCACCCCTCATTCTCGGCCTCCCCTCTCCATGCCTCGGCCAGCGGAAAGATCCCAGGGACCCCTGTGTTCAGGAATCCCTCCCCAGCCATCCCTCCGCCTCCCCGCCTGGCTCTCTCCCCTCCCCCTTCCTCTCACCGTCCAGATCCCCAGCCCCCGGGGATCTGTCCAGGGCGCTGGCGGTCAATAGCCCGCTGCCCTGCGAGAGGCTCTGACCTCATCCCTTAACTCTTTGCGTCCAGGGTGGCTTTTCCTCCATGGACACTGCCAGGCGCCATCCATGCCCGCGCCTGTCTCACCTCCTCCCGCCTCCCGGCAGCGGGTGAAGCCGGGCTCCCTCGGTCCAGCCTGGCCCCCCGGTGAGGATGCCCGTGGCTGTTCTCTGTGCTCTCAGGCCGGCCTCGCCCGGGGACAGGGACCTGGCAGGTGAGGACACACAGGCCTGAGGGGAGCAGAGGGACCACGATCAGGAGCTGGTCCTGCCCCCTGCAGGCTCGTCCTCACGCCCCGGCCTGGAGCCAGGCAGGACGACCCTGTCACACGCATGTACTTGTTTACTGAGCAACTACTGTGTGCCAAGCACGGGCTCAGAGCCCTGACTGAGGCAGACGCAGCCCCTCCCCTGCCTCTCAGAGCTACACCTCCCCCTTCCCACCACACCACACTGTCATCATACATCACCCAGACAGACAACAGGCACTGCCACACACACACACACACACACGCCAGGTCCTAACGGAGGGCTGACACCTCCCCGGGGAATGACTGAGCCCAGGGGTTGGCCAAGCTCGCCCAGATGGACAAGGAGGCTGCTGAGCAGGTTTTTTAAAAATATATTTTTACTGATTTCAGAGAGGAAGGAAGAGGGAGAGAGAGAGAGGCATCAATGATGAGAGAGAATCATTGATCGGCTGCCTCCTGCACACCCCACCCTGGGGCTCGAGCCCGAAACCAAAGCATAGCCCCTGACCGGGAATCGAACCGTGACCTCCTGGTCCATAGGCGGATGCTCACCCCGGCTGGGCCACACTGAGCCACACCGGCCGGGCCCCACAGAGCAGTTTGGAATAGACTCCGGAGGAGCTGCCGGCACCCCAATCCTGGTGGCATTGCTGGCCGACTCCCAGGGCGGCCCTTCCGTCTCTAAGCCTCAGCTGCCCCTTCAGCAGGCTGCGGACAGCAGGACCCACTTTGCCGGGAGCTCTCACAGGCCGAGCAGAGCATGCGTATCAGGCTGGCAGCCACGCCGGGTACTTTGCCGGCAGTGAGTACCAGCTGCCGTAATCACATTAATGAGGTCACGTGAAGCTCCTCCAGCCTCCACCGGGAGGCCGCAGTCCTGGACCGGAGGGCCCCTCCCTGCCTCCTTGCCCCCCAGACGTGTCACCCTCAGAGGCGGAGTCCCATCCCCACAAAGCTACAGACTCACCCCCACTTCTGACTCTCACTCAGCAAGGACCCGCCTCACACTCACTCTCACCGGCAGAGGGGCACCCGGTGGGAGCGGGGCCTCACCCAAGGTCACAGCCAGACGGGAGCAGAGATGGGGCCTCAGGCTGGGCAGAGGCAGGGCCCAGGACGTGGGGGGGGGGGGGGGGGGAGTCCTACCATAACCCCCTGCATTCCCCCCAGGGGTGTTTCACAGAGCAGGCCAGGCTAACGGCCTCCAGCCTCCCTTTCACGGGGTGGGATAGCGGGTGGGGTGGCGGGGGGCCTCTGAGCCCCTCCTCTGCAGACGCCCCGGGGCTGCTGGGCCCTGGCTCAGCCCAGGGCTCCACCCCAGGAACCAGAGCCTGGTCCCTACACAACCACCAGCTCCTGACCTTCGTGGCCTTGGACAGGCAGAGGGCTGTTCCCGCCCCTGTCGAGGTTGAGACCCGCCCACGGGCACACAGCCGGGGCCGGAGCAGGCCTCTGGGGCTTCTCCGGAGCACAGCGACCAGCGGGGTCTGGGGAGGACCCGCTCAGTTTGGCGGACAGGCCGGGCTCAGAAGCGCCGGGGGCTGGCAAGAATCAGGGTTCAGTTCCCCAGAACCTCTGCTCTCCTCCTGCCTCCTCATAGCGGATAGGCCGGCCGGGGGAGGATGCAGACCCTGGAGCCCCAGGTCGGGGCCCGGTCCCCACTCGCTCTGCTTCCTGGAGTCCCTTAGCCGCCCCACCCCAGTGTCTTCATCTACAGCGCCGAGCTAAGAGCCCCGAGGGGTGCCCTGTGGCTTATGGGACCTGACGTGCCAGCGCAGGGGCCGGCCTGCAGGAGGCGGTGCGTTATGGCGGTTCTCCGTATGAAAATGAGGACATGGGGAGGGGCGTCCCCACAGCCCCATCGAGGAGAGGGACTCCGCCTCCCGCGGAGGAGATGGCAGCCCACAGCCCAGCCCCGGCTGAGAGAGCACGTGAGCCTGGCCTCCGGGCCTCAGGTCCTTTCTGTTCCGATCCAGGATCCTGTGCCATCCTCCCAGGTGCCCGCTGGCCCACCGCCCCTGCCGTGCGAACCAGCCGTGTGGGGCCCGGAGGGGCCGGGCCTGGGGTCCATCGGGAAGGGTCGGGGCCAGAGGGGCTGGGTGGGCATCGGAACGAGGAGGCAGGAAGAGGAACAGGCCTTTGGCTGGGCGGCATTTCCGAGCCAGGCGCTTTGGCTTGGGGAGGGGGAGGGTTCAGGGGCGAAGGGCAGCCGGAAAGCAGGGGTTCCGGGATTGCGGGTGATCGCACGGCCGGGAAGGGACGGCTCTGAAATTCAGAGCCGGGAATGCTGGATCCGGGGTGAGGCGAGCGAGGCCCTCCTCCCAGAGTGCCATTAAGGGGGACACCCAGACACCCTCATAATCAGGATAGAGACCACAGTCATGTGATGTTTCTGGAAATCAAGCAGCCAACTACCCTCCACGCTGGGTGGGCCGTCTGCTTTTGTAAGCTTCCTCGGACCCAGGGCCAGGATGAGGGCGAGACGTGGGGGACGGGGTGTGTGTGTGCGCGAGTGCAGGGTTGGATCCTGTCTTTGTTCAAACTTGTGTCTATGACGGGCGTGTTGCATTGTTGTCCATGTTTAAATACTGCATTGAACTGTCCTCTGCTTGACGCCTGAGCTCTGAGACACGTCCTTACGTGTCCCACCCAAGGCGAGGCCTCCTGGCCCCGCTGGCCTTGTGCTGTGCGGCGTGAGGCGCGGGGTCGGCTGGGCGAGCGCTGGCTGAGCACTGAAGGCTGCCCCAGGCCTGCAGCTCCTCTTCCAATGGAGGCTTTCGGGCTGGGCCAGGTGGCCGCTGGGGCTGCTCGGAGGCACCTGGGAGGACCCGGTGCCTTCTCCCCCTTCCCCGGGCCTCGGTTTCTCCGTTTGTGCAATGGGCATTACCCAGCACAGAGCTCAGGCCAGAGGGACAGGCGGCAAGCAGGGGACCAGGCAAGGGGTGCCCACCAGCTGCTGCGCTGGGAAGCCCACCAGGCGCGTCTGGTCCCAGCCCCCACCCAGCGCCTGACGTTGGTGAAGGACGGGAAATACGTCACATTTCCACGTAATACTTCAACAGTTCAAACTGGCAGACAGACTCTGGTCCCCAGGCCGAGCGTCCATTTCTAAAAAGTTTCCCTGGAACCAATTGCTTGGGCTCAAATCTTTTTCTTTTCTTTTTCTTTTTAAATAAACTTTCTTTTTTTTTTTTTTTAATTGATTTTTTACAGAGAGGAAGGGAGAGAGATAGAGAGCTAGAAACATCTATCAGAGAGAAACATCGACCAGCTGCCTCCTGCACATTCCCTACTGGGGATGTGCCTGCAACCAATGTGCATGCCCTTGACCGGAATTGAACCTGGGACCCTTCAGTCCGCAGACCGACGCTCTATCCACTGAGCCAAACCGGTTTCGGCTGGGCTCAAATCTTGGTTCCAACCTTCCTTGTGCGTTTTGTGCGGATTCTCTGGCTTTTCTCAGCCTCGGTTTTCTCGTCTGTGAAACGGAGAGAAGAGCAATGCCTCGGTCACAGGCTCCCGGCTGCGATGGGCCTGGCACTCGGGGCCTAAGTCACAGCCACAATCCCCGAGGTCACGGGGGGGCTGATGTCGGAGCTGGTGGTGATTAGGACCCTTAGCCAGACAGCAGGCACACCCGGGCGGCAGGGGCCCTCACGCGGTCGGCGCTGAGCCCGCGGGCGCCGAGCGTGCCAGGCTGTTCGAGGCTCGGCTCACCTCCTGCCTCCCTGACGCTCACGGCAATGCCTCTCCTTGTTAGCCGGGAACTAATAGCCCCACTTTTCAGCTGAGGAAACCGAGGCACACCCCCAGGCAGCGGAGTAGCCACTGACAGAGTCTGGGCCCTTCGCCCAGGGCGGTGGCCGGCAAACCGCAGCCACTGGGTTAGACCACCGTCCCGATTCGCCAAGGCTGCGGGTGCGATTCCCGGTCAGGCCACCTTCGAGAACCAAGCAGTGAATGCATAAGTGAGACAACAACTTCATGTTTCTCTCTCCCTCGCTCCCCCTCCCGCCCCCCTCTCTCATCAATAAATAAACCTAAAAAACAGTTGTTTTAAAGAGAGAGATCTGGGAGATCTTGTTCCCCTTGCTGCCCCCATTCAGCTGGAGCCCAGGAACAGAATGAGGAGGTGGAGGGGCCTCCCACAGCCCATCTGGGGCCAGACCCCGTGTCTCTGGGAGCCGAGTCCCTTGCCCCTGCTGCCTGCTAGACTGCAGATCCTCTGCCGCTGGCGAGGGCCCAGGCCCAGCACAGCTTCCCTGCTGCCCTGCCTCCTCAAGGGCCTGACACAGCTCCAAACACCTCTCTCTCCCCCTCTCTCTCTCTCTCTCTCTCTCTCCTTCTTCTCCCGCCCCCCCCCAGATACACATTCACACAGGCCCCCTCTGCTCCCATCTCTTCCCCCTTATCTTCTGGGGAGCCCTCCCCTGCCATCTCTTGTCTCTTTATTTGACGGAATTATCCCCCTGGAGCTCCACGGGCTCAAAGAGAGAGAGAGAAGTGGGTTCTAATCTCCCCCTCTCCCCCCCCCCCCCCGTCACCCTGACCAGGCCTGGCCGCTAGGGCTGCCACCTCAGTGACCTGCGGGTCCTAAGAGACCTTCCCCCGGAGACGGACGACAGGGAAATTAGATAATCAGGGCCGTGCTGAGTGCTGTGTCTGGCGCGCGGCAACCGCTCGGTACATGAGGGCTTTGATCGGGTTAGAGAAATGCTCTGGGAACGTGGCAGTGCTGTCTGCAGGGCGAGTCCCCCCCTCCCAAGGTCAGCTCGGCCGCAACTGGCAGCATTTCCCAGCGCGGAGAACACCGAGGCTCCAGCCCGGATGGGGAGCTGGGATGAAGTCTCAGACCCCTGGATTCCAAAGCCGCCCTCACCCCCAACCCATCTGTGGCTGGGCATGCTGGGAGTGTGCGTTATAATGACCGTGTGTGTGTGCATGCGTGTGCGTGCGTGCATGTGTGTGCATGTGTGTGCGTGGTGTGTGCGCGCACGCACGCGCATGTGTGTGTGTGTGCATGTGCATGTGTGTGTCTGTGTGTCTGTGTCTGTGTCTGGTGTGGCCGCCAGAGCAGGAAGGGCCCAGCCCGCCCAGGAGGGTGCTGGAGGCAGTGGTGCTGTCTGGCCCGAAGTCCTGGCAGGGTGGGGCCAGGCGGTGGGTGGTGTCCAGCCCCCCAACGGAAGCCCACGTCCTCTCTCCCCAGGCGATGACCTCCCGCTGAGGAAGCCGCCGAGTGACCAGAGGAAGGGGCTGCCCGCTCCGCCCCGCCAGCCGCCATGAACACCTCGGCCCCTCCCGCCGTCAGCCCCAACATCACCGTCCTGGCGCCCGGCAAGGGCCCCTGGCAAGTGGCCTTCATCGGCATCACCACGGGCCTCCTGTCCCTGGCCACCGTGACGGGCAACCTGCTGGTGCTCATCTCCTTCAAGGTCAACACCGAGCTCAAGACCGTCAACAACTACTTCCTGCTCAGCCTGGCCTGCGCCGACCTCATCATCGGCGCCGTCTCCATGAACCTCTACACCACGTACCTGCTCATGGGCCACTGGGCCCTGGGCACGCTGGCCTGCGACCTCTGGCTGGCCCTGGACTACGTGGCCAGCAACGCCTCCGTCATGAACCTGCTGCTCATCAGCTTCGACCGCTACTTCTCCGTGACCCGGCCCCTGAGCTACCGCGCCAAGCGCACCCCGCGCCGGGCGGCCATCATGATCGGCCTGGCCTGGGTGGTGTCCTTCGTGCTGTGGGCGCCCGCCATCCTCTTCTGGCAGTACCTGGTGGGCGAGCGGACCGTCCGGGCCGGCCAGTGCTACATCCAGTTCCTCTCCCAGCCCATCATCACCTTCGGCACCGCCATGGCCGCCTTCTACCTCCCGGTCACCGTCATGTGCATCCTCTACTGGCGCATCTACCGGGAGACGGAGAACCGAGCCCGGGAGCTGGCCGCCCTGCAGGGCTCCGAGACGCCGGGCAAGGGCGGCGGCAGCAGCAGCAGCTCGGAGCGGTCCCAGCCGGGGGCCCAGGGCGCGGCCGCGGCCGACACCCCTCCGGGGCGCTGCTGCAGCTGCTGCCGGGCCCCCAAGCTGCTGCAGACCTACAGCTGGAAGGAGGAGGAGGAGGAGGACGAGGGCTCCATGGAGTCCCTCACGTCCTCCGAGGGCGAGGAGCCGGGCCCCGAGGTGGCCATCAAGATGCCCATGGTGGACCCCGAGGCGCAGGCCCCCGCCAAGCAGCCCCCCAAGAGCTCCCCGAACACGGTCAAGCGGCCGACGACGACGACGCGGAAGGGCCGGGAGCGCGCGGGCCGGGGCCAGAAGCCGCGCGGGAAGGAGCAGCTGGCCAAGCGGAAGACCTTCTCGCTGGTCAAGGAGAAGAAGGCGGCGCGGACCCTGAGCGCCATCCTGCTGGCCTTCATCCTCACCTGGACGCCGTACAACATCATGGTGCTGGTGTCCACCTTCTGCCGGGACTGCGTGCCGGGGACGCTGTGGGAGCTGGGCTACTGGCTCTGCTACGTCAACAGCACCGTCAACCCCATGTGCTACGCGCTCTGCAACAAGGCCTTCCGGGACACCTTCCGCCTGCTGCTGCTCTGCCGCTGGGACAAGCGGCGCTGGCGCAAGATCCCCAAGCGCCCGGGCTCCGTGCACCGCACCCCCTCCCACCAGTGCTGACGCCCGGCCCGGCCCCCGGCCCCCGGCCCCGGAGAAGGGGCTGTGACCTCAGACCCGGGCCCTGCGCCGCCCCTGCAGGCCGCCCAGGCCCCGAGGTCACCTTCCCGGGCGGCCAGAGAGCCCTGCCAGCTCCACGCTGCCATTCCCAGGCGGGAGCAACCCGGGGAACTGGTTTTTCTGTCCCCAGCAGGCCGGCCGGATGGGAACGGGCTCTTCACCAGGAAGAAGCCGGGAGGAGGATCCGGGCCTGGATTCCTTGTTTGCATTTGGGCAGGAAGTCTGCCTGGAGCCAGCAGGGCGGGCCAGCAGAGAGGGTTACCTCGGCCCTCAGCCCCGGCCCCCTGGCTGGCCTGGATTGCAGGGAGAAGGGGGGAATGGCGCCCCCTGTGGCCACAGCTGGGAACTGGCACCAAACACGGAGAGAAAAGCTTGGCTCCGAGGGACCAGCCCCAGGCCCCTCGGCCCCTCAGCAGGCACAGCCCGCCCTGCTGGGCCCCAGGCTCGCTCTCCGAGAACCCCAGCTCCCGACCAGGACAGCGGCCCCAGAGGGCACCCGCTCAGCTAGTCGCACGTCGAGTCCCCAGGCAGCAGCAGCAGGACCGGACGCCTGGTGTCCACGACGCCATTTCCTGGGGAATGAGGGCAGGGTGCCTGCTGCCCAGCCTCACGCCCACACCCCCCGCCCCAGAGAAACCCCAGGTCCCTCCCGGCTCTCAGCCGCCATGCACATCTAGCCGGCCTCCCGCATGCTGCCTGCCTCCCGCCCACCCCACCAGGCCGGCCCGGCCCCCGGGTCCTCTCCTGTGAGCCCCTGTCCCGCCCATGCATGGCGCCCAGCCACCCTCACCCACAGGCCAGCCTGGCCCCACGTGTTCTCTCCCTCCATCTCAGCAACGCTGGGTCCGAATAAAGCCTCTACCCCCAAGGATGCTGAGTCCTTCCTCCCTGCGTCGGGTCCAGGACCTGGTCTTGGGCCAGGGCAGGATGGGGGGGCGGGGAAGTACCCCGGGATGTGCCCCCGAAGGGCAGCACTGAGGGGCTGGGCCTGCTGGCCCCTGTGGCCCCGCACCAGGTCCCGCTCCAGTGAGCGGGCGGTAGGGCAGGCCTGGCTCCTGGTGGAGGAAGGCCGGACCGAGGAGGCTGGCCCTGCCCGCGGCCCGCACACCCCCTGCCAGCTTTGCCATCCGCCGTCCTCCGGGGCCTGTCACACCCTGGGAGGACACGGCTGCTCCCAGCCCCATCGCAGACGGGGAGACGCAGGCCGGGGGTCCAGGGGGCCGTTCAGGGTCACCTCACAAAGCACAGCAGGCCGGGCAGTACGCTTCGCCGGTGTGCTTATGGCCGGAGGTCCGGAGACCACCCTGAAGGCCGGTGACTCAGGAGAAGGACACGGAGCCGGCGAGGCGGTGACATGCAGTTTACTTTATTGCGGTGAACGCACACGAAGCCACGGAGCGGAGGCCAGGGAGCCGGGCAGCTTCAGGGCGTCCCGGGCAGCGCCTACCCCCCCAGCAGCGGTGTGGCGACCCCAGGGGAACAGGAACAGGGAATGGGGAGCTCCCCCAGCAGGCTTGTCCCCGCAGGCTGCTCTGCTGGTGTAGGCGTGTCAGCCCCACCGCCTCGGCCGCCAGCCCCTCCAGAGGCTGAGCTGCACACGTGGCCGTGGCCGGGAGCCGGTGTGGCTGGAGGCCGCAGACGGGAGTCAGGGCGCGCTCCCGGCCAGGCAGGCCCCGCGGTTGGGCCGTGGGGGTTGGAGAGCCCGATCTGTGGCGTGTCCGCGGTGCCCAGGGGAAACTGGTCGGATCCGTGCGCGCTCGGGGCCACCCCAGATGGGCTGAGTCAAACGCCAGGACAGAGCCCAGCCACGTTTCAGCAAGCCCCCCGGTGAGGAATGCTGGCCCAGGGGCCGGGGTCCAGAGCGGGGAGGTGAGGCTTCACCCCCACAGCGGCCAGGACCCCCAGAATCCCGTGAAAAGGAAGCTTGCGGCACGTGGGCAGGGGCAGCGCATGAAGAGGCGGGCAGAGCAGGCTGGCCAGGGACTGTGGACAGTGCCTGCAGGACACAATCCCCTTCCCCTCCCCCAGCCCCGCGTCCTGGGGCCCCTCCCCTGTGTCTGCCCCCCTCAGCCCCGAGCCCCCTGTTGGAGGCTGGGTCCTGGGAGGCAGGGCCCGGGAGCGAGCAGTGCTGGACAGCAGGGCGCTGGGCTCACAGCGCTGGCTCCCCAGGGGACCCCGAGTGGACGGTCAGGGCCGGCACTGCCCCGATCAGGCACAGGTCCTGCCGCCTGCGCCCCCTCCCCACTCCTGAGTCTCATCGTCCAGGTCCTCACCCCGGAGGAGCTGGAGGACAGGCTCCACGTCAGTCACCGCAGGACCAGGCTCTCCCCGGTGAAGGCCAGCAACGGGGATCGGGTCTGGTGTCAGACAGGCACCTTCCACACGCCTCCAGCCGAGGCTCTGAGGGTCCAGAGTCCCTCCCCCCCCCCTGACCCTCCCCCCACCCCAGCCCGGGAGGAAACGGCCCCGGGGGGGGGGGGGCGGGGAGGAGGATGGGGAGCCTGGTGCAGGGGTGGGGTCCAGGCTGCTCCCCAGAGATGTGCCCACGCCCTGCAAGCCTCCGAGGCAAGAGCCCTGCCGGCCCAGCCTTGAGAGTTCAGCCTCAGGTCCAGTCCCAGGTCCAGCGGCCGGAGCTGCAGGAGGCGGCTGAGCCAGACGTGCACCAATCCACCCCCAACGCTGCACCCCTCTCACCCCGAGGAGCCCTTGGACCCAGAGATAAGGGCCCTTTGGTGCCTGAGCAGGAAGTTGGGGGAGAATAAGGCGGCTCTGAGGGCCACCCCGTCCCTCGCAGGTTGGAGCAAGCCTGGAGAAGGACACCGTGAGGGTTCTCTGTCCTCTCCTCTGCCCCCCAATCCCTCCCGCCGCCCTCCTCCCCCTTCCTTCTCCCCATTCACAGCCTATCACTTTAGCTCCATCTGCAGGCCATCGAGGGAATAGTCCTCCAGGCCGGCTGCCTCCCAGTCAGCGGGGCTGTAGGACCACGGACAGAGCAGAGGGCTTGGCTGCCTGGGCAGGGACCAGGGCCTTGAAGGGACCCGCTAGCTTGGCCGCTATTCCAAACCTGAAGGGGCCGCCCTCCCTCTCCCCCAGGGGCCAACCTCCCAGACAGCGGAGCGATGGGTGAGGGGAGACCTGGCCCCGGGGGTATCTTCATGGCCAGGTACCTGCCCCCCAGGCATTGGGGACCCTGGGAGGCTGGCTCTGGTTTGACGGAACTGATGCTGAGCCAACCAGACATCAGGCAGGTACCCGCTCGCCTTTATGGCACAAGGACCTTTGGGATACCAGTGCCCACACCGGCCTCAGCCCTAACGGGTCTGGGTGCTTCGTGGGGGTGGAAGCGCCCACAAACCACACAAACGGCTTGACTCCAAGAAGCAGACTACCGTGGAGTGCCCTGAGAACTCGCTCCTCCCTCCCGGCCCCTGAACTCCCCGCCAACCACCACCTCTCCTTCTTGGCACACGGGCGCCCCATTCACTCTGTTCTCACCCAGAAATCTGGGTATCCTCTCAGATTCTGCCTCCTTCCACCACCCCCTGAGCCCAGTCAGCCTGTCCCCCTGCCGAAGAGTTCCCAAGTTCACCCAGGGTCCCCCATCCCACTCCCTGCCCCTGGCAGGCCCCTCGCTTGAAACGCTAAAGTAACCCCTTAACTCAGATGTTAGCCAGCTCCGTCTGTGACGGGCCAGCGAGCCAGTGGGTCAGCCTGGTGTGCAGGTCCATCCGCATCACAGCCTCTGCCACAGCCCTTCGCTCCGCCACGGTCGCCAAAAGCAGTACGTGAGTGGGTGGCCGGGGCCATGTCCCAATAAAACTTTATTTGCATGTCGCTGAGATTTGGACTTATATCATCTTCGTGTGTCACAAAATGTATGGCTTTTCAGGCGCTTACACATGCAAAACCTGTTTAAATATGTTTATTGATTTCAGAGAGGAAGGGAGAGGGGGAGAGAGAAACATCAATGATGAGAGAAACACCGATGGGCTGCCTCCTGCATGCCCCTCCCTGGGGACCAGCCTGCACCTGGGTTGGTGCCCTGACCGGAGCCGGTGCCCTGAGTGAGCAGGGAATGAAGCTGGCCCTGGCCCTGGGCGCCATCCGAGAGAATCCAGGACCCTGGGCCCCGGATTGCAGGCCTCCCTTCCCATCTGGAGCAGCAGAGGAGCGAGCGGCTGGGGAGGGGAAAGACAACGCATTTGGTGTTGGAGTGTTGGGAGTTACAACAGGTCCGCCACCTCCCAGGGGAGGGTCCTGTGGTGGAGGCCTAGTCAGGCCAGAGCAAGGAGGCTGCCCCAGATGCCGCCAGGCCCACGTGCTCCTGCTGCTCACCGGGCCGCCGGCTGGGGCTCACTCCGCTGAGCATGCAGTGTCCTGCTGCCTCCCGCCCGGGGCACCCTCCATCCGCCTCCCACAGCCTCAGAGCTCACAGCTCCCAGGCCCTGCCCCTCCCGCCACGGCCCTGCCTTCCCTGAGGAGCCTGAACTGGGCAATCTTCCGTCCACACCAGCATATCCATGCCCCTGGCCCCGGCTTCCTCTGCAACTCCCCTCCCTGGTCAGCCTTCCCTTCCCCCCCTCCCCCACACGGGGGCCGGGGGATGGGGCAGCAGGGCTGGTGGGAACCGCTCCGGAGGATTGGCCCCAGAAACGGTGCCTGGGCCTCAGCGCCCAGGGTGCCACGTCACTCCCCTGGGACCCGTCCTCCGTCCTCCACCCCCCCCCTCACACATGCGTGCGGCCCCTGGGCATCCTGTAAAGCAGACAGGCTGGGCCGCTGTGGCCCAGTTTGCTGGACCTTCCTCTGCATCAATCAGAAGGTTTTGGGGTTGATTCCCGGCCTAGGTTGTGGGTTCAATCTCCAGTCAGGAGGAGTATGGGAGGCACATGATCGATCTCTCCTTCCCTCTCCCTCTCCCTCTCTCCTTCTCCCCTCCCTCTTTCTCTCCCTCTTCTTCTCCTCCCTCTCCCTCTCCCCCTCCCCTTCTCCCTCTTCTCTCCCCCTCCCCCTTCTTTCTCTCTCTCCCCTCCCCTCTCCCCGCCCTCCCCCTCTCCCTCTCCCTCCCCCTCCCCCTCTCCCTCTCCCCTCTCCCTCTCCCTCTCCCTCTCTCCCCCTCCCCCTCCCCCTCCCCTCTTCCTCTCCCTCTCCCTCTCCCCCTCTTTCTCTCCCTTGCCCAGTGAACAGATTCCTCAGGTGAGGATTAAAAGGATTAAAATAAAAACCTTGCCGTCACTGAGTCCATTTCACCTCCTGCACCTGGGAGCAGCAGCTCTGCCAGTGCCCCCCTCCCGGCTTCGCCAAGCCCCCCGCGGGCTTTGGCACCTGGGCAAACAGAGGTGTTAGCTTAAATGTTATTGCCGGGGCAACGCCTTGTTAAGGCAGACAGGCAATCGGAATCGCAAGCCTCTTCCAGCTAAAGGTGACGTTCCCAAGCCAAAGCCAGGCCGCCTGCACGTCAGTCTCCAAAGGCCGCCTTGTGAGGAGTGACATTTGCAGGGATGGTTTGTGGTGCAGGAAGAGCCGGCGGTTGTTTCTGTGGCTCCTGAAGAAGTTTTTCTCTTTACCGCACTGATATTGGGGGGGGGGGTGTCCCCCCACCAGTTAGAGGGGTCTAGAGTTGTCGAGGTTAAGCGCTGATTGGTTACTTCCAAGAGAAGCAAAGCCTGTCCATCAGCCCCCTGCCCCGGGGCCTGTGCCCGGAGCGGGCACAGGAGGCGCCTGGGACCCGCGCGGACCCCACGGCCTGGGCGGGCCTGAGAGTCTCACCGCAGGTGACCTGGCTGCTACTGGCTCCCCGACAGGCACTGCGTGAACAGGATGGTCCTGGCGCTCATCCACGCACTGTCTCCCCCTCCAACCTCCACCCCT